AAACATGGAGGTAGTAAGTAGAACATGCCCTGTGTGCTGGTGCACACCTGTAGCCCTGGCATGGTGGCGGCTGAGGGAAACGATGCAAGTTGGGGCCAGCCTGGGCAACTTAGGGACAGTGAGACTGCCTCAGAATAAAAAATACACTGAGTTCAATCCCAGGTTCCACAAAAAAAAAAAAAAAAAAAAAAAAAAAAAAAAAAAAAATAATAATAATAATAATAAATACAGGAGTGGATACGTAGCATTACAAAGGCCCTGAGTTCACTCTCCAGTATCACAAATAACTGAATTAAATAATAAAGAGGAATGCTAGGATTGGGGATAGCCATCAGCCTCAGAGCCTGGGCACATGTCCTGGACCCGACTGCTGGCTTCCCACTGACCCTCCTCTCCCCTCTTTTACTATTAACAGTGGCATAGGGGCAGGACCCACCGGCCCCTCACCAGCTCCTTGGGTCCCTGTTGGCCTCATACATAGTCTTCTTGAGGTCAGAGACTCAGGCCTTGTGCCCAGCCAGGCCCTGTCCCACCTGGTCACCTCCATGGCCAGAGAAGGGCTGGGTACCCCGAGAAAGAGGACACCCAGCCTCGCAGATGGGGGGCACGTAGCAAGTTTGGAGCAGGCAGATTGACTTAGGGGCATGGGCTACTGGGAACAGAGTGGGGTGGGACCCCAGTGACAGCCATCTGTCCTGGGTATGGGGGCTCACTTGGACACCACTTCCGGGAACCAGCGCAAATGCCTTTGGTTGGCTTTCAGCCGGGATGGAGAGTCTCAGGGTCAATTCTTGTTAAAGTCGACTCCCAGCCTCAAGCTCCAGGAGGCTGACATAGGAAGATCACAAGTTTAAGCCTAGCTTGGGTGACTTGGTGAGATTCTATCTCAAAGTAAAAAATAGTTTAAAAGGGCTGCAGATGTAACTTAGCACAGATAAGCCCCTCAGTTTAAACCTCAGTACTGAGAAAGAGCAAAGCAGAGCGAACCTTCCTCCCCTTGAGAAGGAAGGCCGGGCTAGAGAAAAGCCCCCGTGGCCCAATTCATCCCCAGCGCCCCGCATGGACATAAACATGTGGAGGACATGCCCTGGTGACCAGTTGGTGAGACGTGGCAGTGTCACTGTGGTGACCACGGCTTCTCAGCCTAGCAGCCAAAACAAGCCTTTGTTAATGCTTATAGAATAGCTGTCAGTGGCAAGAATCCTGGGTGTCTGAGCCATGTTTGAGCTTCAAGAGGGAGGTTCCTGAGGTAACGGTTACACAAAGCTACCTCAAACAACCAACTCAGGAAGTGGCCACAGGCTGCCTAAAGCCAGAGAACACGGACCTCAGACATTAATCATCATCATCATCATTATCATTATTTATGGTACTGGGGATTGAACCTTAGGCCTTGGCACTGAGCTAGATCCCCAACTCTTTCTAATTTTTATTTCAAGAAAGGATTTCTCTCTAAGTCATTAAGTTGCCCAGGCCGGAATCAAACTGTGATCCTCCTGCCTCAGCTTCTCCGAGTGCTGGGATTACCAGTGCACGCCACTGTGCCTTGGCTCCCTTTTCCTTCCTGAGGACCTGACCTCTCAAAGGACATCATGTATCACTCGGAGTCTACCCATGTGTGCTACGCTGGTCACACAGAGGGGAAGCTCCGTGTGTGGGAAGGATGGACCCAAGCCAGAAAGGTGGATCAAACCCTCCAGGACCCATGGCTGGCCGGGGGACGGCAAAGGCAGGACTCCAGGTCCCCAGGTCCAGGGTGACTTGTCTGCTGCACTTTCCTCCTTCAACTGTCTCCTTTGGGGATGGGAGGCGAGGAGGAAGTGGGACAGGAGATGTGTAGCCCCCACTTCTGGTCCCATACCAGGGCACTAACTGGTAGAGAGAAACCAGTACAGGGTATGGGGACAAAAAGTGACAGAGAGGTCTTGGGTCCCCTTCAATTCTCCTCCCCTGACTTCCCCTTAGAGATCAGCAAGGTTTTTCCCTGAGGCCTGTGTCTTTCTTTTCCTGTGGGAAAGTTAGTCTTTGATTCTCTTCTATATCTTACAGATTTCTTCCTCAAGCGGAGGAAGGGCTGGGATTTTATTGGACTCTTTATTTTATTTTATTTTATTTTATTTTATTTTATTTTAGGGAAGGGTCTGCAGGGTGTTCAGGGTCTCACTACTAGATTGGACTCGAAGTGATCCGCCTCTTTACAGCCTCCCAAGAGCTGGGATTACAGGTGTGTGCCACCACGCCCAGTCTCTTAGTATTTTTTTTTTTTTCCTTCCGGAACCAGGATTGAACTCAGACCCTTGCACTTGCCAGGGAAGTGCTTATTCCACTGAGCCATATCCCCGGCCAACCACGCCCAGTCTCAAGGTTGGGATTTTAATGGGAACAAAATCAAGGTGACTGTAGAGTGACCGCTTCCTGACACGTGAAGAAAAGTGGGCTGCCTGGTGGTGGCCTCTTCTCAGCACTTGCCATGTGGCCCAGGACCGGCTGCTGTCCTGCAGTTCAACGGCCCTACTGGAAATAAGTGAAGGGCGGTCCATGGTCCCCAACATCCCCACCTACTAATCAGGGAGTGAGTGGGGACTGTGCTTTCAGGTTCATCTCTCAGTTGGGCAGATGTCCCCACAGGGCACAGAATGCTCACGCAGCGGGGTCCGCACCTGCGCTTCCGGGACTTGTGCCTGAGCGCTAGGCTTCCTGAAGCCCCGCCCATTTCATGCACACGTCACCCTTCAGTTGCTGCTCAGCAAGTCTGTCTTTAAGGGCTGGGCCAAAGCCCTGGAGTGTCCAGACTGCATGGGGCTCAGTGACGTCCCAGGTCCTGTCTCTGACTTTCTCTGGGCGTCGAGGGCTGGCCAGCTCATCCCTCTTTTTTCTGTCTTGCTCTCCGGCTTTTCTTATTGGTCAATTTTAGCCACCAACAGAGGGAAACCAACTCCTTCCTGCTGATGATCAATTTTTCAATTCATGGTCAAATTGTATAAATTTTGAGGGAAATGTAGACTGCTGAGTGAAGAGCTTATTCTCATGTTTCCTTAAATCAGTAGGAAATCCCCTGCCTTCGATCTTGCTGGCACAGTTAATTTGCTTTATCTTGGGATGAGTCTATGACACAAAGGTTGGTTTCAATTCTGCCCTCCGAGTCCTCTGGACTCATGTCCAGGGGCTCCACCTGCACAAAATTCCCTTAACTGTCCTCTGACACACAAACCACAGTGAAGCAGTTGCTGCTTTTCGCCACTCCATGGACAGTGACCTCGCTGCCTCTTTTTTTTTTTTTTTTTTTCTTTTTTTCAGTACCGGGGATTGAACTCTGGACCTTGCACTTGCCAGGCAAGCACTTAATCTACTGAGCTAACTCCCTGGCCCTCGCTGCCTCTTGAAATTGTCGCAGAAGAAAAATTAGAAGCCACTTACAGTATATGTGTGACATTTAGATTCTTGCTCATCGCAGTAGGAAAATTGCTGTGATCTCCTCTCAGTATGAATAAGGAGTTCAGGCTTATGGAAGTTCACCTAGAGGAGAGACTCCTTTCAAAAAAAACAAAAAAGAAAAGAAAAGAAAGAAAGAAGAAAGAAAGAAAAGAAAAGTGGGGCCAGGGAGATGGCTCAGTGGAATAAGTGCTTCCCTGGCAAGCGCAATGGCCTGAGTTCAATCCCCGGTTCTGCCAAAAAAAGAAAAAGAAAATGGGTGGAGTGATCAATAGTTCCTGCTTGGAGGGTAGTAGGGTGAGTTCAAGCCACCAAGCCTTATAAAGTTCTTAAACCCTTCTTGCCAGGTGTGGTGACATGTCCCTTGATCCCAGCACTCAGGAGGCTGAGGCAGGAGGATTGATGATGAGAGTTTGAGGCCAGCCTGGTGTAACAGAGAAGGAGATGCTTTCAGTGAGTTCATCTTCTCTCCTTAAGTAGATTATGAGCTCCTTGAAGCTACAGTTTGTCACTCCTGTCCTACTTCAAAATTTGGGCAAGAAAAAGTAGAGAAAGTAAAGCTGTGTGGGGTGGGGTCAGAGCTGAATGTGCTCGGCGTGGAGCCAGGCAGACCTGAACCATCGCCCTGCTCTGCTCCCTGCAGCCGTCGGACCAGGACGCTGCTGAGACAGCCTGGGCCTCATTTAATCGCCTTCAAAGTCTGGATGAAGCAGTGTCCTGCAAAGCACAGACGTGGGCTGGGCAGTGCTGCCAGGGAGCCAGGCCCCTGCCCAAACGCAACCCACGGATACAGGGGAGTTCAGGAAGTACACGGGGTCAGGCGGAAAACCAGCCAGGAGTGTCCTCTGATGGCTATCTCGAGTAGCACCAGTGCGAGTACGAGGGATTTACTGTTCGGGAAGTTTTCCTCTCCCAACCCTATGGATTCTTCTCTTGCTGTTTTTACTAATCAGGAACAGAAACAGAAGTATTCCCTTCGCTGCACCCAGGGAGTTAATAAGAAATGCACATGGTGAGATTGTGTAATTCCCAGAGTGTCATGCCTTGTCATCAGCCTCAGTTTCGAGAGAAGGCACGTTCTCCTCTGACCTTTGTTCTTGAGAATTTCCTGGGTTTGCATTAATGAATGGGGAGTTAAGACAAAGGATATCTTAAAAATTCTTCCTGTGGGTGATGGCAAACACTTGTAATCCCAGGTATTACAAGGTAGGAGGACTTTATCTTTAAGAACAGCCTAGACAACCTAGTGAAGAGGACCACTTCTGGGTTCCAGCCCCAGTAACACACACACACACACACACACACACACACACACACACACACAATGCATTCCCACCAACATACTCCCTCCCCCTCCACAATGCCACAAGGCCCTGCACAGAAGACGATGTATCAGCAAGGTACGTCACAGCTTGGTCTTCTTGAGGGTGTGCAGAACCACTTTTGCCTGTGACCAAGCATACTTCTCGGCCGCTGTACAGAATATGGAGTGCCCAGTGTGTGCCCTCTCAGAGCCTTCACTGTGTGCCTGCCAACATGGTGATTCCAGCTCCCCATTTCTCCTGTAGACACAGTCTCCAGGGAGGCGGTGGCTACGGCAACAGCGTCTTGGTGACTTCCATGGCAGTGCCCAAAGCTTTACTGAATGGCCACAATGCTCTCGGAGCAGAAGATCCTTTCTCAGAGCAGCCCCTGCCCCCGGCCCGCCCCTCCCAGCCCCCAGGCCAAGCTCACCATCTCACTTCTCTGCCCTCCCGCTGTCAGTTTCTCCATCAGCAAAACCGCACGGAGGCGAAGCTTCAGCAAGCAGTACAGCAGTTCCTCCAAAAGCTAAATATAGAGATCCCAAATGACCCAGCGATTCCACTCCTGCTAGATGCGCACCCGACAGAATTGAAAATACAGTTTGTGTCCACACAAAACTTGTCCCACGTGTTCCTGGCAGTTAAAGAGTGGTATCAAAAGCCTGTCAACAGAAGAATGGATGAACAAACTGTGGTGCTGGGGCCAGGGAGATAGCTCAGTGGAATAAGTGCTTGTCTGGCAAGCGCAAGGTCCTGAGTTCAGTTCCTGGTACCACAAAAAAAATGTTGGTCTTACAAATTGTAGTGCTTCCATACCATGGAATGAAAAGGCATAGAAGGCTGAAGCATCCTACAACAAAGGTAAACCTCACAAACACTATGCCAAGCAATGTGGCCAGCCACAAAAGCAGCACATTCCATTTCTAGGAAGAAAATAGATCATTCCTGAGCTGGCAAATGGAGGGCTGCTCTAATGATTCGGAAGTTCTTTTTGCAGTGATGGAATGTTCTAGAATTAGTGGTGATGGCTAGAAACATGTGAAAGACCATTTAGTCATATATTTTAAAGGGGTGAACACTATAGTATATAAATTATCTGTCAAAAATAGAAGTGAAGTGGCCAAGGATTTAGTCCAGCGGTGCAGCACCTTCCTGGCAAGCGTGAGGTCCTGAGTTTGATGTCCAATATCCTCCCCTGCCCCCGCCCAAAAAAGGAAGTGAAAACAATATACTAAATTCTAGATAAATTTAGATTGGCTGCTTGTTCATATTTTACAGAGAATTTGGAGATCTGGGCATAGAGTCAGAAATGACCTGTCGCCCCTTAAGGATGCCAAATAGGAAGGAGACAGGAGAAGGGCAGGTCTGGGTTCGGGTTCCAGGACGGTAGCTCCGAGGGACACAAAGTGCCAGGAGAGTTCAAACTGAGAAGGGGACTGTCAGGCTCTGCAGCCACCCAGCCTGCCCCCAGGGTCCCTGCTCCTGCTGGCCATCTCCCTCCAAAACCACCTTCCTCTTGCATCTGGGAACAGAGCTGCCTTCTCTAGGCTTTATTCTGTCCTACAAGTGTCGGGGCATAGCTCCAGGTGTTGAGGCTCAACAGTGACCCAAACTCTCGGGGATGTGACATCTAGGAATAAACAGCCACACAAATGCCTCTGTGGTTAGAGGAGGTTAGAAACCCAAGCACAGAGGGGGCTGGGAGCGGGAGGGGAGGACAGGACAGGGGCGGCCACTGTGGAGATGTGACGGTCGCATCCTCCGTGTTGGAGCAAAGCCTGTCGCAGAGAAGGGTGGGACTCTCCGCCCGCATTCCAGGGGGAGGGGCTGTGCGGCAAAGCTGAGAAAGGCCGGATTTATGTGTAGGACAGCAAGGGGCGTTGGGGAGGGGTAGGCACAGGAAGACGAGGCCCGCAGCACCACAGTGTGTCCCAGGCCGCCTTCCACTCCTGGACTCCAAGGGAGGCTCCTTGGGGGTGAGGCCCCGCTTGCCCCTGGGACCCAGCCGCTCACTGTCCTCACCCTTCTTTGCCACGCCCCCCTCCCTGTCCTGCAGAGCCTCTCCCTGCCTTGCCCTGCGTGGAAGTCCCTGTCTCCCACCTGGACTGTCCCACACTGGATTCGGTCTCTTCTTGGTTTCTGATGACCTAGAATGATCTCACTTGTTTTACATGGGAGGGGGCCGAGGCAGGGGCCCCTCCAACTTGCTCATCTCAGAGGACTCAGAGTTTGTCTCATTTATTTAATTTTAATTAATTAATTAATTAATTAGATACAGGGTCTCACTACTCATTTCAGACTCGTAGTGATCCTCCTGTCTCAGCACCACGCCTGTTTCCAGGGCCAGCATGGACTGAACTGGGGTCCTTGTGCTTGCTGCAGAGCTCATTCCCCAGCTGTTGGATCCAGCATCACCATAGCTCCGAAGCTTCTGGAGGGGCCTGCTCCTGTGTTATTCCAAGGCCCTTTGACCCAGAAAGGATTGATTGTATCTTGGGCAGGAGGAGCAGGCCTCTCTGTCTCGCTAAGGCAATGCTCTCTGCCTTCCACACTTTTACCTTCAAGGTCCTCCAAGGCCACCCTTGAGGTTTCCGCAGGACCAGGGGATGCTGGACTCTAAAGATCTGAGAAACCTTTGGAGAATGCTGGCCAGGGGGATACAGAGAGTTAATGTTAGAGATGGGCAAGCTGAGGGCCAGAGTAGGATGAGGCTGTGGACCTAGGGCTGGAAGCACACTTGGCAAGTGCTCTGCCACAGAGCTAAAGCAAGGCCTTCCAGTGGTCTCTTCCCAGTCACCAACGGGAGAGATTCATCCTCGACCACAAAGGCTAAAGGCTACAGAGTGTAGACACGTTGACCTTCTACCCTGTTCCTCCAGAGTGGCCTGCAGGTAGGATCCACAGGAAAGATATCTCTGAGCCCCTGCATTGGGTCAGGCAGTCAGCTAAGGCCAGTCCTATTGTATGTAAAAGACCCTTAAACTGTCCCCAGATGACTTTGCTGGATGTCAGGAAATCCAGCCCCTTTCCTTGAAAGGCCAGATCCCAAGCAAGCCCCAGCCTCCTTGAGTGCAGCCTACAGGGACAGGCAGAGGCACCGGTGAGGTGAGTGGCTAGAAGTTTAAACTTTTCTATCTTTTCTAGACATGATCCAGTAGTCCTGCTGGGTGGTGATTTGGTTTGGGACACAATAAGGTTCTTTTGTTTTTTGAGTCAGGGTTTCACTCTGCAGTCCAGGCTGGCCTTGTACTCACTGTGTAGCCCAGGCTGTTCTTGAGTTTGTGGTGATCCTCCTGCCTCAGCCTCCTGAGTTCTGAGGTCCATTTCTGAGAGAGAGAGACGAGAGAGAGAGAGAGAGAGAGAGAGAGAGAGAGAGAGAGAGAGAGAGAGAATTACAGTAGTACACCACTGTAATCCCAGCACTTGGGAGGCTAAGGTGTAAGGATCACTGGAAGTCTGAGGCTACATAGTGAGTTCCAGGTTGCTAGGCAGGTCTTTGTGTTCTAGACCTCAGTCACTTTGGTAAAAAAAAAAATACTCAGATTAAGGATCTGGGAATCCTATCAGGAAAGCGGTAAACCATGGCTGGGCCGGTGGAGAACTGCAGGGTGTGGAGGCTGCAGACTTGAAGGTTTCGCTTGGATGCACTGTGGGTTCTGTGCTGTGGGCTGCTCCCTTTGAGGGCCACCTGCCCCATTCCGAGGAGACTTGGCTGTGACTTTGACTAGCCCTTGCTGGCCTTCCCCGTGTGGCCTGACAGCGACGTTAGGGGGGGCACTGACGTGGGGCTCTGGAATCCGGATGGGTCAGCCTGACAGCTCCCAAGCCCAGGGCCCAGGGCTCTGGAAACAGCTGGCTCAAGCCCTGGCTCCCTCCTTTGCCCAAGTGTGTGATTTGGGCCACACTACTTCATTTCAGTTTCCTGCCCTGTAGAGGGAAGACCCTGGTCCACTTGGGCCCTGCCCCCCTGTTCACCCCTCCTCCTAGGAGCTTGGCCTCCAGTGGATTGGGCATCGTACTTGTCTATGTTAAGGCCTCCCTCCTGGGCAGCATCGGTTCTGTGGGAAAGGGAGGTGCTGAGTGTGGCTTTAGGTCTCCTCTCTGCTGCTGAGCCTTTGGTCCTTCTGCCTTTAGCCCCTTCCCAGTTGTCCCTCATTGCACTATGTTGAAGACACTATTTAATAAGTGTTTTTAGACATGGTTGAACTCTTTCTTTCTTTTTTCTTTTTTTTTTTTTTTTTTTTTTTTTTTTTTTTTTTTTTTTTTTTTTTTTTTTTTCAGTACTGGGGTTTGAACTGAGAACCTTTGCACTGAGCTATATATGCCCAGCCCTTTCTTATTATTTTTTTGAGACAGGGTCTCACTAAGATGTACAGTCTGAGTTTGAACTTGCGATTCTCCTGCCTCAGCCTTCCAGAGTGCTGGATTGCAGGAGTGCACCATCATGTCCTACACAGTCACATGTTTTAATAACGGCTCCAGCTCCTTGGTGACTCCCCAATCATTCAGAGGCACTGAGTGAGCTGCTAGCATAGCAGGAAACTTCCTTCCCAGTCTGGGGTTTCACAAATGCAGTTGGTTCACACATGCAGTCGGCTTTGGATCAAGCAAAGTGACTCTCAGGCAGACAGAGAGCTCCCTTCTTAAGTGGAGTTCCTTAGTGAAGCCACTCAGCACAGGGCTGCTGGAGAAGCTACTTCTCGTACCACTTACTTCACAGAAAGCATTTTGCAAATCTTTTATTAAAGTTCCCAGATATTCCCAGTGTGCACCAAGTTTGAGAACCGGAAACCAGAAGTGAGAATCCTACCATAACTTCGATGAACATAATTTATAGGGGGTACATAGAAGGGTCCAGTGGGGAGCTGTGGAGCAAGGATCCCAAGGGCTGAAACCTAACCCTCCTCTTTCTCTGGGATACTATGTAGCCTTGGGAAAGGCACAGGGCTCTAAGGGAATCAGCCAGCATCATAGACATCCGGGAGTTTACAAGAAACAGGGCAGATTCTGAGGGCCTAATCAGGACATCTGATCTCATTCTGAGATCTTGTCCATTCTGTCCCTGAAACTCGAGTGATTCCTGTTAGGTTTTTCGGCAGTGACACAGAGAAACAGAACTAAGAGGGGAAAAGAGAGGGTTTTATTATCTTTGAGGACACAGGAGAGAATTCAAGGGAGATAGGGGATCCTCTTAACCAAGACAAAGAAAACTGAGACTCTTTTTTTTTTTTTTTTTTTTTCTTTTTTTTTTTTCCAAAATTTTATTGATAAACAGATAGCAATGAGAGTTTCAAATCAAATCGCAAGTACAGTTTCAACAAATAATACACTGCATATATTCTTCTTAG